TTATTCTATTAGCCAAGGCAGCAGATGCTGGTGACAGTGATCTAGCATTGAGTGTCACACACGTCTCTGTACATCAACTCTTCACCTATGAAGTAATTCACATTAAGTTTCATTGGAATTAGTCTTCATCTCCCCACTGTTGGATAGACATACAACAAATATGTAAGGAGACAGTAGATCTTGGGTAAAATGACAGCTGTGTTAGCTCCCAGGCCTTGTGTGGGCTCAGCACACAGACAGTGAAGAAGAGCCACTGTGTGGGGCAAGGTGGGATTTTAAGGGAACATAATTCAGAGTGGATACAACTGAGAGTGCTTCAACTCAGAAATTTGCCATGAAATGTGTGACCTTTCAAAAAAGTATTTTCTTAGAGCTGGCCCATTTATACTCCTTGCAAGTAAATTCTCAACTCATGTCAGTCTGTGTTAACCCTTGAGGGAATGATCCATACCTCTAGCTGATCATGAGGTATTCAGGACAGATTGGTCTCTATGCTAGCCCTTAACTTTCTTAAAGTAGCTTCATGCATATCACCTAACTCTGAGACAGATGAGCTTGTATCAGCAAAATTAATCACATTATGTAAAACTACAAATAGACATTAAATGATTTCAATGCACAATGATTGTCTTTCTTTACTCTCATATGCTGTCTGTGGGGAAATTGTTTATATATTGGTAAAAAAAAAATCATCATGGCATTCTTAATAGGGTCTATGTCCTCACCTACACTTAGCCAGTACCTACATCTTCACCTATACATAACCATAGCTTACACACTCACCTACACTTACCATTTTGTAATCCTCATCTATACATAGTCTGTGCCTACATCCTCACCTACACATAGCCTGGGCATATATCCTCCTCCTCACATAACCACCTGGATGTTTCGGGGGTAAAATTTACAACCAAGCTCACCAATCTCCCTTGTCCCTAGCAGGCCCTTGACAAAGTGAACCATTTCTTACTCTCGAGTCTGCTCTCGTCCAGCCTCATCCTCCACACACTCCTACTTCTCAGGCCCTTTGCTGGCTCTAGGATTGTGATTTCTTTTCTCAGTGTGGGAATGCTCTGGACTGTATCCCCTACTGACTTTACATTTATTTTTGATGTATTTATTCATTGGCTATTCTCCGTCCCTTGATGCACTTATTCAACTATTAACCCTGATCTGAAAACATCAAGTTTTAATGCCAGAAGCAGCCAGGTGGCATTGATGGTGCATGTCTTTAATCCCAGCATTTGGGAGGCAGAAGCTGGTGGATCTCCATGAGTTACAGCATAACCTTGTCTACTAAACATGGTCCAGGACAGTTAGGACTGTTACCCAGAGAAACCAGGTCTCAAAAATCAAAAACAAAACAAACAGAATTTTTTTTTAATGCCAGAAGCAATCAGCTGGTGCTGTGAGAATTTCCATGTTCTGTTTCTCATGTTTGAAAACCCCTGTCACTCTGCGGCTTTCCACCCAGTACATGAGTCCTCACCGGCTCCAGGGCATCCATTCCAGGGCATACTACACACCTCCCAGTCACTTAGGGCCGAGTCAGGCATATTCTCACGGTGGTAGTATCTGAGGGATCCAGTGACAGTATTTCTTAGTTTAGATGGCAGAATTCAGTGAGAATCCTGTCTTTGCAGTTGTTAGTCTCTCACTGTGCTGGATTGGTGAATTAAACTCTCTCGTGGGAAATCAGGCAGGGGAAGGCCTACTGCATGTGGGGAGCAGCTGTGGTTTCCAACCCCTGATCTCACCCTCAGAACTAGACCAACAGTGCCTGGCACGTGGTTTGTACCCCAGAATGCACTCGACACTTCCTCTCTATTCAGGTTCAGAGCACCTCTGAGTGGTGAGGTGATGACATTCTTTTAATACTACCAGAGGTTCCCCACCTAAGAGCTTCCAGGGATCTTAAGAACCCCATAGTCAGAAAACAGGGAGGTGCCTCCTTCCAAGCCTGGGGGCCTGAGTTCAAACCCAGGGTGCACATGATGGATGGGAAAATGGACTCCTGCAAGTTGTTGTCTGGTGTTCACCAGAGCACCACAGGACACAGTTTCATGTGCACGCGCACACACACACACACACACACACACACACACACACACACACACATACATACAGAGAGAGAGAGAGAGAGAGAGAGAGAGAGAGAGAGAGAGAGAGAGAGAGAGATTTTTTAAAAATTTTGCTTCCACATATGTCTGTGTATCAGGAGCATGTCCGGGACACCAGCATCCAAGAACAAGTAATGGATCCCCTAGATCTGGAGTTTAGATGGCTATGAGCTGCATGTAGGTGCTGAGAATTGAACCTGAGTCCTCTGGAAGAGAAATCACTGTTTATTTCCACCATGTCATCTCTCCAAAATCTTCATTTTTTTTTTTTTTAGAAAAACATCAGATGAGCTTTTACTCTTTTATAATCATAAGTGAGATGTCACGTGGTGATTACTGCTAACAAGAAGCTGTCCTTCAGAGGTAGGAGGTTTCGTCTTGAGCCTGTCTCTTGCCAAGGGTAGGCAATTCTTGACCAATACTCTGTGCACCTACATGCTGTCCAGGGGAGGCCTTTTCCCATTGCTCTGGGCCCCAAAAAGAAGAGAGATACACAATTAATCTCAGTCCTTTTAGCAAAGGTGATCTCGTTTATGAACACAGTGGTGGTTTTAATGAAATACCCTCCCTAAGTTGAATACTTGCTCCCAAGTGGGTGGTTGCTTGGGGGAGGACTGGGAGGTGTGGCCTTGCTGAAGGAAGGGTGTCCCTTGGGGTAGGCTTTGGACCCACACCACTTCAAGTGAGTGCTTTCTGCCTACTCCTTGTGGATTGAGATTGAGTCCTCAGCTGGTGCTCCAGCTACCTGCCCTCATGCCTTTGCTCTGCCATCATGGATTCTAACCCTCTGTACAGTAAACCAAATTTAATTCTGTTTTATAAGTTCTCTTGGCCACGGTATATATATCACAGCAACAGAAAAGTTACTAATACAAACACTTTCTCTGTTCATTTTTCATAGTCCCCCTGCACCTCTGATCTCTCTGGGGGCATTCATTCTAATTCTATCTTCCTTTTCATTGTTTGATTTCCTCTTGATCCCTTCTCTTCTGTTTGGTTACTTCGGATAGTGGCTTCCATCCAGTATCTGGTGATCTTTGGTTGGCTGTATAAAACCTTAAGCACTAAGGAACTGAAAGTCCAATCTGTGCTCAGGGTGAAGTGGCACCAGATGGAGTTGAGCAGGGCTGGCATTCCTACCATGAGTCCAAACATTGGCATCACTGGGCATTTTCTCTTGCTTTAGTGGTTTATCCCAGGGAAGATTCCTACTGGCTCCTGCCTGGGAGAAAATTGTGTCATGGAGGAAGTCGCGCTGGTTGACAGTGAGAGCCTTGTGGGCTGACACCTGTTATCCTCGGGCCTGTGATGATGAGAGGGGAAGATTGTCAGGAATTCAAGGCCACAATGGAATACAAAATGAACTCCAAGATAGTCTGTGCTTCAGGGTGAATCCTGTCGCAAGACACCACGGAGAGCCTAAAGAGATGGCCAGAGAGTTCAGAGCACTGGCTGATCTTCCAGAGGACACAAGTTCCCAGCACCACATGGTAGCTCACAACCGTAACTCCACTCCAGGGATTTCACACCCTTTCCTGGCCTCCATAAGATCAGGCACACATGGGGTACACAAACATACATGAAAGCAAAAATGCCTGTACTCATAAAATAAAAATAATAATTACACATAGAAAAGCATTCCAGGCCGGGCGGTGGTGGCGCACGCCTTTAATCCCAGCACTCGGGAGGCAGAGCCAGGCGGATCTCTGTGAGTTCGAGGCCAGCCTGGGCTACCAAGTGAGTTCCAGGAAAGGCGCAAAGCTACACAGAGAAACCCTGTCTCGAAAAACCAAAAAAAAAAAAAAAAAAAAAAAAGAAAAGCATTCCATTTGTTGTCTCCTCTGTATCAGCAAAGGAAAACTTTATTTGAAAAACACCCCCAGCCTCCTGAGATGATCACTTTTAAAGGTTGCACATAGTTAGATTTATGTGTTTGGTTCAGTTTTAGTTTTGAAGTCCTATTGCTCTATGGTGACCCTTTATGTTTTAACATGGAGAGGAGAGGCAAGGCATGGTGTAAAGGAGCTAGGAATGATGTCCACAGGAGTCTCGGCAATAACAGAAATACAAATAGAACAGTAGCAATGAAAACACTCTAGAGGAGACACCGGCTAAGCAATGTGATACCATGGGACCCAGCGTTCTAGAGAACAAGGACATGCAGGAGGTCCTTTGGGGGAAACACACATGAAGTGATTCAATTAAAAATCAATGCAAAATGGTGGATGCACACAGAACAATTTGATATGAAGGAGTGTGGGTGAAAAGTAGTTGCTGGTTTTAACTGTAAATATTAGTTGTGTTTTTTTTTCTTTTAGTTGTTTAACTTTATAATAAAATGGAAGAAAAACCCACTTTCAGCAAGAGAACTCTCTCTCCATTCTTAATGAGCCACATCTTTAAGCCCTTTAAGATAAGTACTGTGCACTTACTGCTGGACCACCAAACATCGTTCATCAAACTTGCAAAAAAGGAAGCAAAAATGCAGAAATCAGAACTGTAGAAGCTTCCTCCTTTGCACACAACTCAAAAATTGTAGGCCACAGCTGATGGAGAAAAGAGGAACTTGGAGGATGCTTAAATAGCAGGCTTGCCTTCTCCACTCAGCCTGCAGCAGATCCAGCTTCCAGGTCAACATGAAGGCTCTCCTCTCTCTGGGGCTCCTCCTGCTTTCTGTCACTGTCCAGGCCAAGGTGTGCAAGCATTGTAAGTTGGTTACACTTCTGAAAAGCCATGGAATGGATGGCTACAGGGGACTCAACATGACAAACTGTAAGTCTCCTTGACCACCCCGCCCCCCACCCAGATAATTACCCTCTGCATAACAGGAACAAGGAAGAGATCAGTGAGCAGAGAGGGATCTGGGGTCAATAAGCTTTAAGATTCCTGTGTGTTTGACTAGTTTGATTAAAAACATCAGCGTTCATCTTTTCCATCAGAGATACTGAAGTGAGGGCATGGGAGGGGACATCTTCCCAGGCTAAGGCAATAGGACCTGAGGTGTTCATGGAGAGTCACTAGGTTTTCCAGTTGTTTCGGACTCAATAGCCCACAGGGGGTGAGAAATGATGGGAGGACTCACTCATTCAGAACTTGAGTTCTGAGAGCCTGGGGTGACTGGGGTGTGTCTTCATTTCTCTGACCTTGGTATGGACCTTTTGAGAAAAAAATTTCACAGTTTTTGAACTTTTCTGCAGGTCAAAGTTATCTTAATTCCCCCTAGCTGCTGCTGAAATGAGGTTGTGGTTGTTTAAATTCAACTGGCCTCCATCATCTCATAGGGACTGTCACTAATAGGTAGTGTGACTTTGTTGGACGTGTTATGGCCTTGTTGGAGGAGTTGTTTCACTGTGGTCTTGAGCTTTGAGAAATCCTCTACTTACCATACCATTTAGTGAGTGTCTCAGTCGATTTCCTGTTGCCTGCAAGATTTAGAACTCCCAGCTACTCCTCCAGCACCAAGTCTGCCTGCATGCTGCCACGCTCCTCACCGTGATGATAATGGGCTGAACTGTGAGAGATCCACTCTCAATTAAATGTTTTCTTTATAAGAGTTGCCATGGTCATGGTGTCTCTTCACAGCAATAATAACCCTAAGAGAGACAACACCATATCCAATCAGGGGAACCTGTATCATCTACCATGAAGGCAGTGGTATCATCAAGACCTTCAGAAGCATCTCTGGTAGTACTCTGCAAAATGTGAGCAAGCTAGAATTTGAAAGCTGCTCCTGGTGAGCATGTGGGAGGTTTGGATATATGTAATCGAAGTTTCTGGTGAGTTGTTGACACTTAAGAATAAACTGCTTCCCTCAAGAGTAAGTATAATCTTCTAAGAAGTGTAATAAAGTTTCAGAGGACCTCTGTCTTGGTTAGGGTTACTGTTGCTATGAAGAGACACCATGACTGTATCCACTCTTATAAAGAAAACATGTAATTGGGGGTGGATTGCTTACAGTTTCAGAGGTTCAGTCCACTCTCATCATGACAGGGAGTGTGGCGGCTTGCAGGCAGACATGGTCCTGGAGCTCAGAGACCCATATCTTGCAGACAACAGAAAGTCGACTGGCTGTCACACTGAAAGACACTTCAGAAAAAGAGACCTCAAAGCCCATCCCATAGTGACCCACTTCCTCCAACAAGGCAACACTTCCTAATAGTGTGACTCCCTTTGGGGACCATTTTCTTTCAAACCACCACAGAGGTCAGATTCTTGATTTGCCCCTTGCCAGCTCTCATGTGCAGAGAGACAGAGACCTTGGGGATATCATCCCAGGCCTTATGCTCCTTAAGCATCAAAGCAGCCTCCTTGGTCTTCTTGTAACCTTCAGACCTGTCTCCTACCACCTGAGGCAGTTCAGGGACTCCTTCAATACAATGACCTTTAGACCTCACCCAAGGTGGGCAGACTGAGGCAGTCAGCCAAGGCAGAGCAAAGGGCATTTCACTTTGAGGTGTTGTTCATTCTGTGGTACAAAAGGCCAAGGTTTTGGTTGGTGAAAATGTAGGAACTCTCAACACATATTTCTAAAGACATCCTGGCCAGAAAGGTGGATCCCACCAACTCTGGGAGTTTGGTCTATGTCTCTGGCAATATCCATCAAGGTCTGATGATTGGTAATTCTCGACAGCATAGGGCTGCCTTTTGTCTTTGCACAAGTTGATGTGAGCAGATTCACACTATCTGGTCCGATGGTAGCCATGAACACATCTGGCTAAGGGACATTTTTTCCCAGATGAGTGGCCCCTTTTCAGGAGACACCTGTTGAGGGGAGGGGCACATGCCATGGTGGGGAGAGAAAGAAATGTTTCTTACAACATGGATGCTTCCAAAGGAAAAGGAAGTACCTAGCACTTCGTTTTAACTGTGGATAACCTATTCTTGTTTATTCTTGGTACAAGTTGATTTGTTCTCAAAGGGATTCTCTTTGGGGCAATTGAAAATCGCTTGCTGACTGGGTACAGCAATTCCACCTACTTGAAATACAGAGGGAGGAGAATCACTTGAGACCAGAGACTACACTGAGCAATACAGCCAGACCTGACCTGAATTAGTGATAGAATATTTTAAAATGTAGTCATATGATTGTGCTTATAAAGTAAATCACCTGTAAAATACAGCCAACTCAAGGAGCTAACTTTGGTATCCAATATAAATCATTGCTGCTACTGCATATTGATGGATATACTTTTTCTTTGTAGGGGTGTGTTTGGCTCAGCATGGAAGCAATTATAACACACAAATTACAAACTACAACCCTGGGGACCAAAGCACCAACTATGGAATATTTCAGATCAATAGCCGATACTGGTGTAATGATGACAAAACCCTGAGAGCAGTGAATGCCTGTGGGATCCCCTGCAGTGGTAAGACAAGGCTGGTTAGAGGGATAGCAAACAACCCCTGCTCTTATGTGCAAGAGCTGAGATTCTGTGCAGGAGGCATCACTGAAGGAAGCGTCAGGAACCTGGGGAGACTGTCTGGACTGTTAGAAAGTCATTGTTATTCACATCAAAGTTAGCCAAGGAAGACATTAGGATTAGGGCATAGCTTGGTGATTGAATGCCCTGCCTACCAATCAGAGGGCCCTTGATTCCACCTCCAAAATCACTGAATGAATAGTCAATATAAACAGAGGCTGGCCAGGTAGCTCAGACAGAAGAGTCTCCTAAGGGTTGACCCTCAGCACCCACATAAAATCTGAGTTTGCTGACATGCATTTGTAGGTCCAGCACTGGGGAATCAGAGACAGGCAGATCCATGGGGCTCACTGGCCAATCAGGATAGACTAATCTGTAAGCCAGTTCCAGTGTTTCTGGGAGCTGGAGAGATGGCTCAGTAGTTAAGAGCACATGATGCTCTTGCAGAGGCCCTGGTTTCAGTTCCCAGCTGTCACATGGCCACTTATAATCATCTATAACTCCAGTTCTAGGGAATCTTGCATCCTTTTCTGGCCTCTATGGGTTCCGGGTATGCATGTAATGACCAGACACACGTGCAGGCAAACAGTCCTATACATATAATGAAAATAAAGAGATCTTTGACTAGGCAGTGATGATACACACTTTTAATCCCAGCACTCCAGAGGCAGAGGCAGTGCAGCCTGGCCTACATAGCAAGTCAGGGATACCCATAGAAACTTTGTCTCAAATAAGAAACAAATAAATAAATAAAAGTAACCAAAAAAAATGAAAGAAAGTTTCTGGAATAATCTACTAGTTAATTATAAGTGGCTTATTGGTGATTTGTCCTGAAGATTTCCATTTTAGTCATTTAAATAGGGATTGTTAGGAATATTGGTGCAGAGTCATTTTTAACTGAATGAATTTTATCATAAATATTTCTAACATATACAAATGAAGATATTACTATAATAAATACCACATGACAGTGTACCACTAAGTCACTAGCATTTTGTCCAACTGACTTCTATGTGTATGTATTGATGTAATGTATGTGTTGAGAGATTTTAGAGTGAATTACTAGTATTAAATTTTGTTTGTAAACTCTTTAGTATGTATGTTCTGTAGCAGGAATCTTAGAATATCTTATTAATAAAATCAAACCTGAGGCCAGTTATTGGGGTGAAATGCTGGATGGTCAGAGAGACAGAACAAGCCACAGCTAACCTCACCTGGCCAACTTCTCAGCTGGTCTTGTTTCCTCAGACTGGAAGCATCTGTGTCCTCATCCCAATGGCTCTCAGCTGAATTGCTTCTTGAAAGCCTGAAGCTTAACCAAGCCAAATGCTTAACCAGCCAAATGCTCTAGTTTCTGGTCCTCATGCCTTTTATACCTTTCTGCTTTCTACCACCACTCCCTGGGATTAGAGGCTTGCTTTCTGGGATTAAAGGCGTGATGAGTCACCATGCCTGTCTGTATCCTTGAACACATGGATTTCTGCCTCTGGAATGCTAGGATTAAAGGCATGTGCTACCACTGCCTATCCTTTATGTTTAATATTGTGGCTGCTCTGTCTCTGACCCCAGATAAGTTTATTAGCATGCTCAATATTTGGGGGAACACAATACCACAATGTTCAATAAATCTAATTCTTAGATGGACATTTGTAGGCATAGTTTCTGTTGGGACCACCAACTCCACCATAAATGCACAGAGACTTAATATTAATTACAAATGCTCAGCCAGTGAGTGGCTCAGGCTTGTTACCAGTTAACTCTTACAACTTCAATCAACTCTTTCCATAAATGTACATTCTACCATGTGGCATTACCTCTCTTTCATCTTGCACCTCCTGTTTCCTCTCTGTGTCTGGCTGGAAACTCCTCTGACTCTGCCCTTCTTCTTCCCAGCATCCTTAGTCTGTTTCTCCCACCTAACCTTTATCCTGTCTAGCTATTGGCCAGTCAGCTTCTTTATTAAACCAATCATAGTGACATATATTCACACAGTGTGAAGGAATATTCCACAGATGTTATCTCATCTAACAAAATAACATAGATTTATGTATTTAAGATGAAACTTATTTTTAGCAAGAAACAAACAAGGTTCATATCAGGATTAAAGCCTGGGATGGTAGGACATGAGCACATGCCATGATGGGAGCAATATATAATTTTTAATGCATGCATCAAATTGATCAATGTTGTTCTATTATTTCCAATGTGGGAATTGAACACAAGACTTGCTACTTTTTAGTCAAGCACTCTAAACAGTGAACTATTAATTCCTAAATGTTAAATTTGTTGGTGAAAATTTTTCAGGAGAAAAAAAGATGGTGGAACACTCTGTTTAGCTGCTTAACCTATCTTTAAAAACATTGTGTTTAAAACCATTGACCCATCTACAGTCATTGAAAGGTATTAGAAACTACAAGCAAAGAGGAATATCACTCCCAATTTAAGTGCTCAGAGAGTTGATGTAACTTGAAACCTTTGGAATATATTCTTCTAGACTGTGAATCTATGCTGAGGTCCATGTAAAGTTATATCATGCACATATATATTCACATTACAACATATATAGATTTTACATTTTTACACAAATTAAATTATACTTACACAGATTCATGATATAGTTATTATTCAAAACAACATTCATAATAACAAATAATGACCTGAATTGTCATTTTTAAAGAGTGAATATAATTGCAGTAGCAATACTCTGTATGTTGAAAATACCATTCCTTACGTGTTGAGTCTTAAAGCACCTGGCTGCTTCCATTTTACTGATTACAAATTGCTAGGAAAACCTTTATTCCTACAGGGTTTACGCATTGTTTTCTTTCAAGTATTCATTTATCTTTATGTGTGTGGGTGTTTTGCCTGCATATTGGACTGTGTATCACTTGTGTGATTAGTATCTGTTGAGTCAAGAAGAGGGCTTCATCTTGTAACTGGATTTACAGACAGTTGAAAGCTGCCATGTGGGTGCTGGGAATCAAGTCCTTTGGAAGAGCATCTTGCGCTCTTAGCCACTGAGCCATCTGGCCAACACCTGTTTTGCTTTAGAATAAATTCCACTGGTAGACCCTGGTGACAGTTCTGGCTTGTTCTATTTTCCAGTGTGAGAACAAAGAGGAACTTCCCTCATGGTAGCTGACAGTCCCACAGCCTCCAGTGACCCCTCATGACTTCATTGTGTTCTTTACTTTTTATCAGTGCTGGAATCCTAAGAACACTCTACACTCAAGTATATCCCAACCCCCCAGGGACTTTATAAATGAGAAATAAAATGACTTACACCATGTCACCTGCATAGAATCAAGAGAGGCTGTCTGCAATAATCACAGATGCAGGGACACTTGCAAAATAATTTCTTGTATGCACTGCTCAGCGTCACAGAAGAAAGCTGGCTGGATCTGAACTGGAAGTGGCTTCTGTAACAGACTTGTCCTTCCTCACCCCTGTCTTTCAGCTTTGCTCCTGGATGACATCACTCAAGCCATAAAATGTGCCAAGACAGTTGTGAAGAGTCCAGAAGACATGAAAATATGGTATGTTGGAACTCTGGAATGGGAACTGCAGGTTCTGTTGATAAGTGTGGTGAGTCTTTCTAAGACCCAAGTGTTATTCTGAGCACTGTGGGTACAGCTGGGGCCTTTCACTCCATCATTAGGTTTAGAGAATTTCTCCAGATTCTGAGAATTCTCACACACGACTGCTTCCTTCTCAGGCCCCCAGACTATTTGTATCATCAGTTAACTGTTTTGTGCCTGTGATGCCACAGTGACATTGAGCATGCAGTGTTCTTCCCAGGGCTTGGAGAGGATCAAACAGCCTTGTAGACACAGCTCCACCAGTCAGTAGCAGCTTCTGGGTGCAGCTGTAGCCTGGGTTTCACACTAGATCTTGGCCCAGAACACAAACTCCATTAGTGTCACTTTTTCACTATTTCCCCTCACAGGTTTGAGAATGTGTGTGACAGAGGACACAGTTCTAACAATCCCCCCCCCATCTTACTCTCCTCCACAGGGTGGCCTGGAGAAACCACTGTCCAAACCGAGATCTCACCCAGTACATTGGCAACTGTGGAGTCTAACCGCCGTGTGCCTCCACCTCAGCTCACCCTGTCTCTTTCTTGCCATAGAAGCAGTTATGGCGAAGGCCACACTTCCTCAGTTTCCCCTTTAGACAAGCAGGCTTTTATCAGAAACAGAAGCAACATGGAGACTGTTTCCTAAGAGGCTTAATGCTGACTAATGTGTTCACTGCTGTATGGAAAGCCTCCATTATTCTATTAGTCAAGGCAGCAGATGCCGGTGACAGTGATCTAGCATTGAGTGTCACACACATCTCTGTACATCAGTTCTTCACCTATGAAGTAATTCACATTATGTTTCATTGGAATTAATCTTCATCACCCCACTGTTGGATAGAGATACAGCAAATATGTGAGGAGACAGTAGATATTGGGTGAAATGGCAGCTGTGTGAGCTCCCAGGCCTTGTGTGGGCTCAGCACCCAGACAGTGAAGAAGAGCCACTGTGTGGTACAAAGCTGGTTATTACGAGAACAGAACTCTGAGTGGATAGAACTGAGATTATCTAAACTCAGAAACTTGGTGTCATGAAATGTGTGACCTTTCAAAAGCAAATTAACTTAGAGTTGGCCCATTTAGAGTGCTTGATAGTAAATTCTTACCTCATGTGTCAGTCTGTTTTAACCTTTGAGAGAATGATCCTTGCCTCTAGCCGATCATGAGGTATCCAGGACTGATTAGTCTCTGTGCTAGCCATTTACTTTCTTACAGTACCTTCATGTGTATCAACTGACTCTGAGACAGATGAGCCTGTATCAGCAAACTAAGCATATTGTGAATAAATAAAAATGAGCATTAAATGATTTCACTGCACAACTTGTCTTTCTTTACTCTTCTATGCTGTCTCCGGGCAAATGGTTTATATATTGTGAAAAATAAACATGACACTCTTAAAAGGGTCTATGTCTTCACATAAACTTATCCAGCACCTACATCCTCACCTATACATATCCTGTGCCTATATCCACACCTACACATATCCATTGCCTACACCCTGGTTACATGCAACAAGCTGGATATTTCTGGGGTAATATTCAAAAGCCTGCGGACCTATCTCCCTTGGCCCTAATAGGACTCGGATAAGGTAATTCCCACACAGTGAAACCGGCAGTCATGTAGACATGAAGACATTGCTACAGGGACAGCCAGTTCCCCGTGTGTTGTTCTAGCATTCTGATGCCGTCACTTCCTCTCTATTTGTCTTTCTCACTCTCTCTACGCTCATTTTTTTTTCAGGCATTTTAAACTCCAGCACATTTCAGGCGCTAGAAACATCGTATTTTATTTGCAAATTCTTTATTTTCAGCTCCAGTGTTTTGTTTTGGTTTTTTTTTTTTAATCCATTTTGTTTCTTGTATGCGGATATTTTCCCTCCACACACATCAGTGCCCTAAGAAGCCAGAAGAGGGCACCACATTCCCTGCGACTTGAGGTACAGATGGGCGTAAGCTGTATTGTGTTCAGAATGGAACCTGGGCCTAGCAGAACAACACTGGCTAAATCTGGACAATTCTGGGGCAGTTCTTCCTGTTCCTCACTCATGTGTTTCAGCTTCCCTCTAATGACGTCACTCAAGCCTTAGCCTGTGCAGAGTGGAGTGAGGGACTCACAAGACAAGTTTTACCTTTAAGAAGGAAAACTTGTCCCCCTGTTGTAGATCCATGCAGGATGTCCCTCCATTCTTGAACAAACTTTTTATGGCAACTGATTGAGAGTCTTACTCTTTTAATTTATCCTTTTTTTTTTTTTTTTTTTTTTTGAGACAGGGTTTCTCTCTGTAGCTTTGCACCTTTCCTGGAACTCACTCTGTAGACCAGGCTGGCCTCGAACTCACAGAGATCTGCCTGGCTCTGCCTCCCGAGTGCTGGGATTAAAGGCATGTGCCACCACTGCCTAGCGATTTATTCTTGTTTTAAGCATATCCAAGGCATTTAATATCGATTCAATTCATAGCTATATCAGGGTCTAACTCCAGACCATGTAGTATTGCAGATGAGATGTTTGGTTTCCCCAAAGCATTTGAAATGTATGTACTATGAAGAGGATGGGAAGGGTGTGTGAAGCCAGCTGGATGACAGGGTCCCATATTTTACCCCAGGGTACTCTTGAGGAGTGATGGGTAAGAGATTTAGATAGAAGGATAGAGGGGAGAGAAACAGATAGAAACACAAGATAGCCTTGAGAGAGCCTGGATCCAAATCCACTGGCCCTTTCTGTCTCTTCTAAAGGGCTATTTATAGGAATGCCAAGGAATGGAGCATAAGACCTCCCCCCAGCACAGCCAAGTTCAGACCCTCTCCCATCACCTGGTGACTATGCTCATGGTCAAGCAATCCTCTAATGCAGCCCTGCCAGGTGAAGCAAGCTCAGATCTCACTAGGAAACCTTTGTGGGCCTCCACAATTCCCCCTTCTTGATATAAAAAAGCCCCCCCCAGGCCTCTCAGATAGACTGTGCCTATCTTAGGTCATTCTTCTTGATTAGTTTTACACACATACATTCAGGAAGTTATCAAGAAGAAATTTGCCCATCTTTGGTTACCAGCCTCTGGCAAGAGGGGGTAGAGAACTCAACTCTGCTCTGACTCAGGTCCCTACTATGATCTTGCAAACATCCACAGCAATCTCCACAGCTGCCACACCTCCTGGTATAGGATTAGAAGGTAATAAAGATGGAATATCCATATTGGAATGATCCCAAGGTAACTACAGCAGTCTCAACTGCACCAAGCCCTTTTCCTAGATCAAAACTCTCTCCTAACAGATGTTCAATAAAATTTTCAAGAGACTATTTTGATTCCCAGGGGGAAAAAAAACCAAGTCATTTCAAATTACTTCTAAGTATCCACTCAAGTAAACAAAAACCCATGCTAGTTATAAAAACACTTTTACAAACTAACTCAATTATGGGAGGCTTACCCCTTTGTGGGAGGCTTACTCCTTTCTAAACAGAAATAGAAAGAGTGGAAATGTCTAGGAAGAAGACAGAAGAGTTCCCTTAATTATGACACCTTCACTTAAGTTTTCCAGGGGCTACTGAGATCATAAGATTATATTTTAAGCTATCATAAAAAGTATTCAGATATATCTGAAGGTAAAAGAGTAATAAGAACTTCAATATGCTTCTAAAGTGATTGATTTGGTTTATCCTTTGAAAATTAATGTTATCTCATTTATCTGGACTAGATAGATATTGATGGGGTAATAAAAATATTCCAGTGTGAATTTACATTTAACATCTACACGTTTTACAAACCCACACTCAATATACACATTTTACATTCAATATTTAACCCCCTTATACATTCCTAATTCAAAAAGGAAAGTCTATAGAACAATTTTAGCACATATCTAGAAGAAATCTCTTAACAAAACTAGCTTACATTCAAAAGCAAACTCTATAGCAAACATCTAGAAATAATCTCTTAACAGAACTAACTTATACTAGAAAGAATCTCTTAACACAACTAACTTAGTTCCTTTCAACAAGATAGAGAGTACACAAACCATGAGTTACCATTATAAGTGAACTCAACACTGCTTTATTTCTGAATTTGGAGTTCATGTTCAGCTTTGATATGAGACATCTGTGGGTAGCCAGCAAGCTTCTTTGGGTGACTAAGGGTACAATATTTCCCCCTTCTTAATTTTTTAAACCTGCTTTTTAAGATAACCATGAGTTCTTTTAATGTTGCCAATGTTTCCCTCTTGTATCTTAAGCACAACTCAATTCCATAAGTTTTTTTCACCCTGAGCAATTTCCCAGTGTAAAGACCATTTTTCATAGTTTTCTGAAAGATTTCAAAGTGGCTTGTTGACAAACAGTATTAATACTTTTAATTATCTCCTTAGAGGCAAGCTGTTCAACTGTTCTTAGTTCTCAGGAGGTAAGATTAAGCTTCCTAACATTGCTTGGAAAAGGAAAAAACACAGTTTTCAGGCAGTATCGCCATTTTGAACTGAAAAACTACATTTCTCATACTGCCTTTCTCTATCATCGTGCTGTTCCGTTATGTAATAAATCCCCCCAGACTACATTTCCCAGGATGCCTTTCTGGGTCTGGCAGAAAACTTCTGGTCACACTATTTTCAAGCGAGCTTTTTTTTCCGCCATGGGAGGTTTCTCTTAACCCTGAGCTTGCTTTGGGATGCCTGCTTTAGTGTTTGACAGGTGTACCTCTCTAATTAGAATTTTCACCTGCCACTGTTCCCGGAGCTGGTCACATCTGTCTGTGTGTCCTAAGCAAAAACCCCTCAGGGCTTGCTCCCCTGGTTTTTCTGGTCAGTGAAGGGAAAGGACAGCTCTTGGACTAAAAGCTTTTTCAAAAAGATCCCCCCCTGAACCCCCATAAAAAAAAAGAGCTTTTTCAGAGAGATTTTTTTTCACAGCCGTAAACACTGTTTAGCCCTACCTACCAACTCAGGGCTTACAGTCAGGGGGGCAGCAACTGTTGCCGTTTCTACCAGCTTTGTTTTTATGGCCCTGTATTTATATAGTGTGTGTGTGTGTGTGTGTGTGTGTGTGTGTGTGTGTGTATGTGTATGTGTATGTATATTAGCGGTGTTTCCCAGGTCCTGCACCTTCTCTGCCTTGGCTCCATGATCGAGGAAGCTGCTTGACAACTACAGGAACCCTAGCTCCCAAAAACACACAAGAGGTGCTTGCTTTTTGCTAATTGCATCCTGATTCCTGGTTAGAAAGGAAGAAACAATGCTAACAGTAAGAATTAGCAATGGTTGAAGGGATTTTTTTTTTCTATATTAGGGCAGTTACGAGCAGTTCTCCCATTCAGATAGATATTTCTTCCAGGTGAATTTAATTTTTTGCTCCTACAGAAAGGGAAAAAAAATCTGAGAAAGAAAGATCTGAAAAGCTTTTAGTCTTTTAGAGAGACAGAGACTGCTAAGTTTTTCTTGGAAAGATTTTGGGTTTTCAGAGAAAGAAAATTAAGTTTTCACTAAAACTTCTGTCCTCTAAACTTTGACTTCATGGTCAAATGCAAACTAATTTTGATTGTACTGTGTTGTGAGGGTGTTTGGTGGCAGAGCAGAGAATTTTGTTTCATTCCCATCTGTATCAGGGAAAACTCCTCCTGCTTCTCAAGTCTTGATTTTTAAGCTCTCCCCAGGCAAAACGCTTCCACGTGAATACTTTTCTGCCAGTTTTTCTCATCTTTGATAGATTTTTCTGACTCTTCCCTAGGATTTTGTGTACATAGCCCCATAGTTGGAAGTCAAGGACATAGTTCCTCTGTCTTGTTGCTTATCTTATCGTAATTTTTTCTAAAACTATATTCCTAACCCAATATTTCTATTTTCTAACTTACTCTAATTTTTTCCTACATTATTTTCCTATATTCTACTTTTATTCTAGATTCCTATAGATAGAAATTAAGAAAGAGAGAGAGAAAGAAACCTAGAGAGAAATATACACTGCAGGGCCACTTTTCAACTCCGGCAGTTCACTGTCTAACTTGACTCCTGAGAATAAAACACCATCACCCTTATTTTTCCATTCCTTACTGGCAGACCTTACACACACGACGCCCCC